TATATATACACACACACACACACACACACACACACACACACACACACACACACACACACACAGAGAGAGAGAGAGACAGAGAGAGACAGAGAGAGAGAGAGAGAGAGACAGAGAGAGAGAGAGAGAGAGAGAGGTGGAATATTATAGTCCAGTCACAACATCCTGAAAGTCGTGCCTTATAAGCACCCTTAAATGAAAAAAATACACATTCTCTTATGTAGATGTTACAGAGCCCCTTTAAGGGATATGGGAGCAGGAGGCATGTTTTGTGTGCACACCAGAAGCCTTTTACTGTGTTACTCTCTGCTGCGCATCAGAAAAAGCAAGTTTTCTTGTGAGCATGAGAAAGGTTTAGGAGTCCACATCAGAAAGTTTTCTCGTGAGCATGACAAGATTTACAATTGCACTGGAAAGTTTTCTCGTACGCACCAGAAAGTTCCACAAAATTTTCTTGGGTGTGCCACAAAGTTTATCGGTCATCGCAGAAACTCTCTCATGTGTGACAGTTTTCTTGGCAAGTTTTGCTGTGCGCATCATCAACGTTTCTGGTACATTTCGTCATGTTTTATTTTGTATGCCCCAGAAAGTTTTACGCGTGCCAAAAACTCTCCCATGAAAGCCAGAAACTCTGTTGTGCACAACAAATACTTCTCAAGTGACCCAGAAACATGCTGTTGTCCCTTTTGAGGCTCTGGAGGATGTGCCGCAATCAATCAGGTAATTATGTGTGCAACTACAAGCCACCACTGTGTGCACCATACGGTCGAGCCATGTTTGTCGTAACATCAGCAGGAGAGAACCTCCACCAGGACTTCATGCAGCTGTGATCGATGCAGAGCATCGTGAGCGACAGGCACACATTCCTGAGAAGAAAGGATTTTTTGGGAGGGCTGTTACTGTTATTCAAGGTCAAACTCTGGATCAGGTGCTGAGGCCTTTTGTGGTCTACTCTAGTTTCTGCTGCAGCTTTTTCTGGAAGCAGACGGGCAGGATGGAAAGCACAGCGAGCACGGCGAGCACAGCCAGAGAGTTCCAGGACACGGCCTCGCCAGCAGTGGTCAGTTTGTACAGTGTTGTACCCGCCTTGATGGCTACGAAAGATGGTGGCGCTACGCCTGTGAATAACATGGGTGCAGTCATTAAGAAAGACTCGATCGCGAAAGTTACTTCAGCATAACATACAAACAAGGAATCAGAATTACATACCCAAAAAGGTTCCAACAAAGAATACCCCCAAGGGCACATTGATGACAGGTGAGGTGATGTTGATGAACCAGTTGGGAAGAAAGGGAGTTATCCTCAGGAAAATGATGTAATAGATTAAATGGTGTCTGTGTTTATCCACCTGCCAGTGAAAAACAAAATCTTGAAATATAAATGTCTAATCAATGGCTTTTTAAGAGTCTAGCTGGGTGGGGCAGTGGGTTTCCAACTGTTTCAAGTAGCATGTCAAAAAAAATTCTTGGCGCTCCGAGCTCCATCATTACGACCAACATTTTAAAAAATACTACTGTGTTTGCATTGTCTGTTAGCATTTGGCTAGCAGACTTTGATATGTTTTCTGGTTTGAATACAAAACATCTTTGTTTTAGGTTTAGTTTTACAGGAAACGAGAAACAGCTTGGAACAAGCGCATCGCCTCTTTTTAAAGAATTGTTCACTATCTGGTACCTGCCAGTTCATATCTAAAAAAATGGAAAAAAAAAACCATCACCATTATGTGACTGAAATTAGGAGGTGATTGTTTTCACATACCACAAGAGGGAGACCACATGCCACCACACTTGGGGAATTACAAGACAAGTATTCTATCAATGAAGGCTCACAGGCAAACAGTGTCCCAATATCCCCATTTACTTACCTGCTGTGACCACTTTTGGGCTTTTTCCGTGAGATATTTGTACACCATGGGTCGGCCCACCAAGTAGGACAGCATATAGCAAAAGGAAGCCCCCAAACCAGAGCACTGGCATGACACAAACATATAATGACAGCTACATTTATCATCTTTCCACATTGACTGAAAAACTAAAGGTTCCGACTGGCTGCCAGAGGGCATAAGTTGAATGATAGAATTTTGCCAAGTGTCCCACAAATATAGGATCCAACTTTTGACAAAGTAAATGGAATAATTCACATACTGTATGTACCAAATTGAACCAAACAGTCCTGCTCGATAGAAATTCTGCTTCATTCTACCTATTCAATTAACAGGCCCCAGTACTGGGTAACTAGAAATCCAATTGTCTACTAATATACTAATAATACACCTTATATCGTTATTACTCACCAAGCAGACTAAGAAGAGAGCCAGGGGGAAAGGGTAAAGATATCCAGACAAGATGCTGAGAAAAATCGATCCGGGGATGGCAAAGGTCTGAAGGCTAACGGAAGGTGTCAAGGTATATATATACATTTTTTTTAAAAGACCTTAAACATCACATGAATGTACAAAAGCTGAATGAAATGCATGGGGGCTTGAGATGTGAGTTTAGTTGATTCCATGACTACACTCTTAATTCAAAACACATTTTAAATAATTTTTTCCCATTAAATTGAATGCAAAAGGAATTAATCAGTTCCAGCAACCCCCCCCAAAAAGATGTTAAAATGTTTAATGTTTTTTAAAATAATATTTTTATGTTAAGTTCTGTCTCTGTGGTGAAAATGCCATACACGTGTAATTGCTTTTGTTTTGTTTAGCTTGACAATAAACTTCAACTGGGAGAGGTAATAACAGCTTCAACCTTCTTTTTTGAAGAATTTTTCAAAATGTGCCAAAATGATGCTTGTGAAGTAAGCTGAGTTCCTTCCCAGAGAGAAGTGAGAAATGTGTTTTAGTATTGTTCATGTACCATAATACATGTTTATGTTGTCACTTAAAACTAAGACTGTTGCAATTTGTGTCCTTTTTTTTCACACTTTGGAGGATACAAAACATATGTTGCAAAATAGGCCACCAACACCTGGCTGTAGTAGGTGTTTTTGTATTTGGACAATACAGTTCCCAGAGCTTTGGCGTCGTCCATGTCTTTGGGTACCTTGATTTTCTTCATTTCATCACTGGAAGAAAAATAAACAATAAGAATCATTGCTTGTCCTCCAAATTGATCCCTGATTCTCCACTTGACAGTGAAAACAGCAATTCCACTCTCTAATTCAGGTTCTAGTATGTGCATTCTATGTGCTATTGTAAAAAGATTCATACCGTCCACTATATTTATTTTTACATTGCTGTGAAATCAAATGCTTGCACTGACTCATCCCATTAAAAAAATGAAACAACCATACCTGACTCACCAGGGAGATCGCAAAACAGCTAACTGAATACAACATCAATTCTTCCTTTTATGATGAATAGTATTTGAAGACAACACTTTGACATGTACTACAAATGTGTGAGATAGAAATGGGATGCTCAGTTAGGGATCTATCAATGACAAATCTACTCAACCAATGTGCGACCAGCAGTGTCACGCAACTAGTGTACTTTTAAAATGAATATTCTTTCAAATGTTGAAATGACTAATACATCTCCAGCAGCAGTTCTCAGAAATGTGTAGATCAAGTCCCAATTCACAAAATACCTGGCTCTCCAAGTACTACCATAGAGAACAACATCAAAAGAATTAAAATGTACTGCACATAAATTAAAAAAATGTAACTAAATAAATGTCTGAAAACAAACAGTTCGACACTAAATGAAAAAAAAAAATTGTATATATTGTATGTATGTATGTATGTATGTATATATATATATATATATATATATATATATATAAGTTAAATACAACTGAACTGTACTTAAATGTACAAACATTAGTGGATTAAAAAAATAATTTAGTGATTCTTTGACATACCTCTCGAAGAAGCCTGCACACCACCACTTTGAGAACCATCGATCAAAAGCAATTCTATCACATTTGAAATGTCGATAATCATAGCTTTCTAGACAGTTCCTTTTAAGTTCTGTTGAAAAACCAATTTGACTGACCTCATCTAGGTCACCCACTTCAGATGAAACTACAGACATGAGTAGCTACATTACCAGTCAATATGTTAACATAGTAAAGACAGAGGCAACAACACAGCACCACAAATTCAGAGAACTGCAAAACGGCTGGGGTTTCCAATGTAACCTAAAGCAACTCACTCTGTAAGCTCTGGGAAGTTCCTGTAGACCAGGTACATAATTGAGGCTGAGCAGGTGAAAATAGCAAGGAGAATGAAGAGAGACATCCGTGTTGAGCTCCCTGCAGCATGATGGCTATCTGTGAGGAAAGGACAAGAACAATTCGAAAAAATGATGTTTACATTGAGATTAGCGAATGCATGTTCAAGGGATTTTTTTTCCCATATTCCCATCTTCATTATCCCCCCCCCCAAAAAAAAAGCAGATGTGGAAGGTCCAAAGTCAAACAAAATCGGTGCCATTACCTGTAGCTGTCCACATAGTTTTACTTTGTTTGAAAGTTGTCCCGATGGAGAACCATGTAAAGGAAATTAATTCTGTATGGGCTCGAACATGCCATTATACAACCTTTACAGACTACACAGGCAAGGCTTTAAGTTGCATTTTAACGTCCTCCAGTATTAACTAAAAGCATAAATTAATGGTACGCTAAAAGAAAACAAAATCTAGTCACATTTTGACCAAACCTGACAGATAAAACCGAGAGGAAGCAGGTGAGTTTGTGCAGAATGATATCACACAGTGATAGTGTATACCTCATTAAATGAAATGGTAAGATAAGATAAGATAAGATGTCCTTTATTTGTCCCACACTAGGGACATTTACAGTCTACAACAGCAAGATTGTGGGTAGAAAGAAGAAAGAAGAAAAACAAAGTCTTTGCATTCACAAAAAGGACGCAAAGTATGATAATGATCAAGCTTGGTGGTGTGTTTTTTAAATATAATATGGTGAAGTGTCAAATATCAAACCCCATTTGAAGGTGGCAGGATATGGAACAAGACAACTCACATTCATGCATCTATCTACACATCACAAATAAAAGTTTTGAATTATACTACAACCTAATACATACGTGGAAGACAAGGATTAGTAAATTGCATTTTGTTGTGTATCTGATAAAGGGATCAGTGAGTGTGCTCAATACCTTGGAGCTATAAGCAATACTTTCAACAATATATCAAAGTAGGTGGCAAAAGTACTTAAGGTCTCTACTTAGGTAGAAATGCTGACATTTATGTTTAAAAAAAAAGAAGAGACTGGTAAAATCTCCTCTAATTTAGTGATGAACCAAAAAAATTGGAAGGGTGTATTCCTTACTATGCGTCTAAGTCATGCTCTGTTCTTATTTATTTGTTCATTTATTTTAGGGTGCCATTTTTAAACACGTGGAATTAAGTAATTAAAATAATTAACGTTATTACACCCGAGAAACGCTATTCGCGGAGGATAGGGGCCCTGTTGGCATTGAAATAAACAGCATTGAGGATTTTATTTTCTCTTTTTTTTTTTAAACCCCGGTTTTAAAAAACACAGCTAAACATTGAATATATGTAGTGCACGAAAAAAACAAATATTGCAATAAATTAAATGCAATTCCGTGAGTGCCGAACAGCGAGTACTGTATACCAGAGTCGATTGTATATGTTGTCAGTTTGTTTGGAAAGCTTTCCAGTGATAAATACCTGTTGAAACGAGGTTAAAGATTAGAAAAAACATGTATGAAAGCTTTTAAATCTGATTTTCCCATGTTGAATTTGAACAAAAATGAGTCCACTGCTGCTTTTAAAGACTCATAACTTTGCTTATATTTATCACAGGAAAATGGTCCTTGTATCAATGAAATATTTTTATATACAAGATATGTCCCATAACGCTGGTCTCATGTAACTAAATTATTTGCATTTGTTCCACACATAACTCATATGTCCTCCAATGTTGGAACAGGTAACATCTATTTCGACTAAGTAAGGGTTAGAAACTACAGGCATGTTCTCAAATGTGGTAAGGAAGAGAAAACGTCACCAAAAAAAATACTATAGTCCAGACACCTGAAAAATCTACATTTACAGCATGACGTATGCCAAGATGCTGAGCGATTTGAGAAAAGGGTTTCAATGAATCTAGCATTCAAGTTTTTAGAGTTGAGTTCCCATGTTAAAAAAAAAAAATCGCTAACTTCAGTTACCGTGTAACCAAAACGCTAATCGTCACGTGACAGCGACTGCAACATGACAGCAGTGGTTTTACCCTGGTGCTATGCTAACAGAACGTTCAAATTGTCGTTAGACGCATTCAACAAACCAGACGAATCCAAAAGTGAATCATCTACTTAAGAATTAACTTGAAATCCCGTGTGGGTTAATATTTAACCATTTAATTCCAGTCATAGTGTTAAATTAGCCGCTACAAACCTACCTGTCAACGCGTTGAGGTTCGTAGCATTAGCGTTCACTTCCCCTTTTGACAAAACCAAGTCGTCTGTCTCGCGTCTGTCCCTCCGCCTTGTGGCCGTATTCTGAGATAATGCCATTCCGTCCCTCGACGGCCGATTTATGTTCGATCCGGCAGAAGAAAAGGTACAGATGAACTAACCGGTGAAAAGACACGTTATACTGCACGAGCCTTTTCCTTCGCTTCCAGTGCCTATCGCGTACAATCGACAACAGCGTCTCCGCCTGGACGACATTGTTATTACACCCATTGTTCTGCGGGCAATTCGCTGTTTCAGCGCTAAATACTGTCCATCTATTAGTACAGTACACGCTTTGTCCCCGCGAGTAGTAAGACCATTTGGCGCACTAGAAGAAAGACCATGTCTTAGAAGTAATGTATTTTTTGACAACTGGTGCCTTTATGTGTATGTGCATTTCTGCACAGTATAGGTCAACTTCTTGTTGAGGCAAATTTGCATGAGGTGACATACTGTATGTGTGCTACTACAGTACTCGTATTACAAGTAAAGCACGAGACGTTCACTAGTAGAATTTTATAACACCACTAGTAATTGCCTCCTAGTGGTGCACAGTTGTTAACCAGTGCAGGTTTGTCTCACTTTGTCCAACTATGCCAAAGTTGTCCTACTACTTGTTCAACATCCATCCATCCATTTTCTGATCCGCTTTATCCTCACAAGGGTTGCGGTGGGTGCTGGAGCCTATCCCAGCCGTCTTTGGGCAGTAGGCGGGGGAAACCCTGAACCGTTTGCCAGCCAATCGCAGGGCACACAGAGACAAACAACCATCCACGCTCACACTCACACCGAGGGACAATTTTAGAGTGTTCAATCAGCCTGCCATGCATGTTTTTGGAATGTGGGAGGAAACCGGAGTACCTGGATAAAACCCACGCAGGCCCGGGGAGAACATGCAAACTCCACACAAGGAGGCCAGAGCTGTAATTGAACCCGGTACCTCTGCACTGTGAGGTCGACACACTAACCACTGGGTCACCGGGCCGCCCACTTGTTCAACAAATACATCTTAAATTCAATGTACACTAGAAGAATAACTGTCGACTAATAATTATTTTTCCAGTGTTGCCTTCCACCATGACATTTTTGCTCTCAAGGATGACAATGTGGCAGAGTAGAGTAAAACAAAGCACGACTGGGCATTTTGGTATGACTCTTTTTATTTTATTTTATTTTTCACAACATGGCTTGATGTTGCTGGGTCAAAAAATGATGTATGGCAAATGCATTGCGTCCAATGCCAGTCTAAAAGCCACAACGGTCTGATGTTAAATTAAAAAAAAAACCAAACTACTGTAAATTTGAAAAAACTTAGAGGTAAGGTGTATTTTCCAGTTATTATTATTAAGCACTTTTTTTGTTTGTCAATTCACAATGTTATCGTTATGGAAACACATTGTTTTCATTTATCAAAATAATGTGTTCCCTTAGCTTTGTGGAGTGTCCAATGTATAGTTTTTCGTCTCAATATGAGCTGCTAAAAGTCACAAAAAGACAGACTAGCTGTGCAATGAACACTAAGTTTGTGTTTTTTTGTTTTAACACCACCCCATTATTGCAATGCCATCATACACAGATCAACCTCAGGGAGTTGGAGACAAGAACTTCAACTAAGCAGTGCACTGCTTCCTCTCCAACTGTAACCAATGAGAGGTCACAGCTAAGTTGGTCAGTAACGTTGAAATCACTTTAAGATTAAAGGACCAATAACAATGACTAACCCCAGGGAGACAAAGCCTACCAGTATGTTTCAGTTAACAAAGGAGAGCCTTTCCTGATTCTATGAATCGCAGTGGATCCCGAGGTTCTGGTCGAGGCCCTCCGGGGCACCATGGACCCTAACCTGCGAGAGGCGACGGAGAGACAATGATTCTATGACCATTATAATCCCAAACAAAAGGAAGAATAATGGAGTCTAACTTTCTAAAGAAGGATTAAGGCAAGAACACCCTGAGGCACTGGATCACGTGCAATGATTGTGGAAAACATAATTTTTAAAAAGGCTAAGTGTGAAGTAAAATTGGCCAACCATGTTTTTGAGTAATATCAATGGCTGAACAATTATAAGCATATTTCCGTTATTTTTTTTAACGCAACCCTTTCAGATTCTTTGTTTAACCCTTAGCAACGCCCTTGACAGCGAAAATGCTTTTCTTCGGCAATCTTCGGAAATGACGTCACATGGAGAACTGCGAGTTGAGTCCGCCATTGAACAGCATTGTTGCATTGCTTGCTGGTAAGATGCCACGGTGGTGTGTGGCGATGTATTGTTCGCAATCGACAGAAAAGTTGTACCAGTGGCCGAAGGATAGCACAGCACGTAAATGGACATCTTTTATTTGCACTAAGCGAATGAATTTCACGCCATCATCGATGAGTGTTCTCTGCTACTCTATCTCCACTTCAAAGATTAGATATCCTTTATTTGTCCCACACTGGGGAAATTTACAGTCTACAGCAGCAAGATAATGGGTAGAAAGAAGAAAGAAGAAAAGAAAACAAACACTGTTCAATTAAGTGCAATATAAATACAGATATGGATATGGTCGCAGTGCTATTTACAATTGTCTTCCACATCATGTTATTTTTTATTCAGCAGCCTGACAGCAGTCGGTAGGAACGAGGAGCGGTATCTCTCCTTCTTGCAGCGTGGGTGGAACAGTCTCTGGCTGAAGGCTAGTTAGTGCTGTCAGGGCGGGCTGGAGGGGGTGGGAGGAACTGTCCATCATAGCTTTTAGCTTAGTTAGCATCCTCCTGTTGCCCACCTCCTCCAGAGTGTCTAGGGAGCAGCCCAGGACAGAACCGGCCTTCCTGACCAGTCGCTCCAGTCTCTTTCTGTCCCGGGGCGAGATGCTGCCTGACCAGCAGACAAGATGCCTGCTTTCTCAACCGGTCTGCTTATAATCAAGGATTTGATAAAAAAAAAGGAAGTGTGAATTTTGGATGGATAATGAAGATTTTGTCAAAGCATAGCTGCCAACTCTTGTGGAATAAACAGTAGAAGGTAGCGACATTAGCCGAAAGCTAACTCGAGAAGCTAGCAACGTTGAACAGGAGAAGCTAGCGACGTTAGTTTTCGGCTTGAGGCAAACCCCGATCGATGCTATTCTTATCAGCGATGAGTAATAATGGCAGCCAGACAAATTGTTCTGGAAGTACAAGTCAAAAAATTATTTGCTAAAAAGAATACTCAAGTACAGAGTAGGCTAACTGCTTGAACATGAAGTCTGATTACTTTTTTAAACAATGTCATCAGATAGACAAAAATATGAAGTTATGTGCACATGCCTGCATCTTCAAATCCTAAAAATAATACCAGCCTATATCTTACCAATCTTGTGATCTCAATGGGTCTTGTCTCCATTCCATGTCAGGTCGTCTGGGCACATTGTTTACATCCTGATTAGCGTCTGGCTCATACATGTAAAGTCCAACATGTAAAATTCCAACCTCCTCTTCTTCCTCCAACTCTTCAAAAACTTGGATGCCCTCACTTGCGCTCGATCTATCGCTTGTATCGCTGTTTGAATCATTGTTTGAAATTCTTGCATCTCGCCGTATGGAGCTCTGCCATCGCTGTTCTCCATGTGACGTATCACTTCCGGGTTACTCCCCTTTCGGGCTCGAACTTCGGAAAAGCGATTATTTTGTCAAATATACAACATATAAATTATTTTTTCATGCTTTATTTGGTGGACAATGTTGAGGTACTTTCATTGTGACCCTATTTGGCATTTCATGAAATTACTTCACACTTGGCCTAAGGTACTGATCCTGCCAATCATTGAAATCATGAGAGAGCTCCAGAATTGATGTTGGTCTCCAACATAGCCACAAGAGGGAGACAACTTGCCTTGAATAGAGATGAGAGACTGTTTGAATCCTCAATGATTGGAAATTTTGAATGGTAAATGTTGAAGCAGGGACAAGTCAATCAATAAATGTCTGGCACGACGAGAGTCAATACACCCTCTGACTTCCCCACTGTTCTTTGCCTCAAGGTGTCATCTCGTGTTTTCACAAGACACTTTACAATGTCATAATAAAGGATATTACATCATTTGCTTTGACATTTGCTATTTGTCATCCCCTTTTGTGCGATCGCGCACTTTCCAACACCAGCCTACTCATCGTGACCAACCGTCATCCGTTAGAAAACACATTTTTAGGATTATGGGCGATTAGTATACACAGATGAAAAATGTGTTTAGCTTGCCAAAACCTGAATATAGTTTCGTTCAATAGTTTGTTGGTCTTAAATGAGGGGAAAACATGTAAAACCTTGATTATTTGAAAATATTTTTTTGCAATTACACAAAAACTACAAGTCCCATAGGCGTGCGGCCGCAGCCGGAAATTGGTCATACACATTTGGCGCTGATCTATCCGGGTACTTCATTCGCTTCTTCCTTTCGCGCCGGGTAACCGGAGAGCTGTGCGTCCATGTGCGCAGTGCCTGGGAGCTGATAAGACATCTGAAATAGCCTCAATCCGAGCCAAGCAAGCACGTTTTGGTTTTTTCTCCCCACCCAGCGATGGATCCCGAGGTTTTGGTCGAGGCCCTCCGGGGCACCATGGACCCCAACCTGCGAGAGGCGGCGGAGAGACAACTCAGCGAGGTAAAGGTTTCCAACTTGGGCTTTTTTCGTGGCTGATGATGGCGCGGTCTCACTTCGGGCCTCGGCTCATAACATCAAGATGATACGATTGCACAGGCTGGACTTTGTCACCGTAACCGACCCACTGTTACAATTCACTCTTTCGTGACACCACACAAGTGAATGGCAGGTCGCCTTAAATCTCGGTCATGTTGTTTTGTGTTCTTCGTTCATCGCCAGCTCAATGAGCCAGCTGTGCGGCTAATTTGCTAACCTAGCCGCCTCGTCTTGTCCCCCCCCAGCACCCCTTCAAAAGACATGGTAGCTTAGCACGCACACGTGTAGTTAAAAGTAAATCGTGTCAACAAAATGTAAAAAAAAATCGAAGAAACAGTCGCCATTTAGCGCATCGAAGAGAACCAGGGGCTATTGGGCTAACGATGAGCTAAATTAGTAGGGGTTTCTTAGCTGCTGCTCACGTGTCACTGACAAGCCGAGTAGCAATGACATATCGAGTCAACGTCGACATAGTTTATATTCGCCAGATACAGCCAGTACTTTCGATACTCATTAGGCACGACGACATGTTAAAATAACTTTTTTTTTTGTGAATGTCTTGGAATATGTTTGACCGAAGTCGGGTTGACGACAGGTTAGCGACACGCATTGCTTCGGGCAGTAGAAACGTTGGCTCCTCTGTTGTTTTAAAACCCACGTTTGCTTCCCACACTGTTGATAATCAGCAAAGTCTATAAACAAATGTCATTATTTGGGTTCGTTCCATATTTTAGTATTTGTGTGGGGAGTTGCGTAACGAAACTAACTTGTTTACACTCCTTTGCTGTCGTC